GGCTGGAAGTGGCCCCGGGGGTGGGGTGGGGCACGGCCCGGCCGGGCCGTGCTCGCCTGGGCCCGAACCAGAGCTGCACGAAAGGGCCCTGGGCGGCTGTGGCCGGGAGGAGCCCGTGGGAGCCGGAGCTCAGCGGCTCCGGGGGGCGGGAGAGCCGCGGGGCTGGAGGAGGAGGACAAGGAGCCAGAACGGTTCACAGCTGGCCGGAGACACCGGGGATGTCACACGTGTACACAAACGGGAGCCTGACCTGCCCAGCACAGCGTGCGGCTCCATCGGCCGAGCCCGTTCCGCTGTCCCTGCACTGGCACCGTGTCGTGCTGAGAATGCCACTGCCCCCTGCTCACTTGCCTTGCTCAGCTGATGTCCCGACACGTTACCAGCGATGCACATTCTCTTCTAAAAGCTGAGTGAGATACAGGGTAATTGGGGCTTTTAATTGACGTTCAAATGTGTATCATCTGAGTCTGTTAGGAACCTTAATTTATTTTAATGATGTCCTTTTGGTATCCAGTTATTATGCAGGTAAAAATATTTGCAGTTTTGGGGTGGAAAAGAGTGGCCAGAAGTAATAAAGGTCAAAAATACAAGTGTATTTGATGACCTGAAGCCTCTGCTTCACAGTATGTAGCACTTTATGCTTCCTGTGCTATTGACTCTTTCTAAATATTACCTTAAAGCATCAAGGTAGGTGTCTAGATAGTAAAGGGGAAAAGTGGGATCATCTTGAAAAGTTTGGGTTGTCACCATAGAGGAAGTTAGTGGCACCCAGAATCTATTTCTCTAGCATGTCACTGAACTGAGCACCTCTTGTGTTTTCCTGCAGTGTCCTGCCTGTTTCCCTCTGAGCAAATGGGCCCATTTCCTTCCACTGCATACTGCTCAGTACCAGGGTGCACCCTGGTACTTAATTCAGCACCTCTGTGCTCAGGAGGGTGGAGATTCTATGGAAAAGCACACACATGCATTGCAGGGCAAGCTGTAACTCCATGAGCACAAAGGAGCTGAATTAAGGCTGTGAAATGTCAGGAAGTTTCAACAATAGATAGCTTTGCCTGGCAGTATGTGTTCATTTCTGTTCTTCCCTTGTAATTTTGGATGTTTGAGGCCTCTCTGCAGGCAAAACAATTTGAAACAATTTGAAATCTATATTATGTTGTGGTTGTTCTCTTGGAATTGAGTATTTCTGTAGTGTAGATGCCATATACATAGAGTTAAATGCAAAAGGTTTTATCTAGAACATTTTTGGCTGAAACAAATCAATAGGTGGTGAGTGCCCATGCAGGAACATGCATGGTAGAGCTGGGGGTGAATCTGTTCTGGCTGGCTATCGGCTCTGGGAGGTTTGGTGTCACCCATTCTGTGTGAGATTCTTAGAGTGTCAGTATTTTAAAAACTTCAGTTTTACCATCTCTCACTTCCCACATTACAGGGTTCTAATCCAGGTGTTTTGTCTGTTTCAGTGGTCGAAGGATTAGCTCTGCTGGATTTAGGGGTCTCGCCATACTCTGGAGCTATTTTTCATGAGGTTGGTTTACATGCTTGGTTTTAAATGTGATATTCCACTGACAGAGATCTTAGTTTGGCTGCTGGGGGCCTGTTTCATCCCAAAGTCTGCAGAGTACCTGAAGTTGTCTGGTTTGTCTGAGCAGTGGTTATGCAGTGACCAGCATGAGGAAATCCAGGTAATCCAGTGAATTCCCTGTGCAGGGGCAGGCAGTGTCGTATTTGTTACTGCATAAAGAAACTCTGAGACAGGGGAACTCTGTGATACAGAGTCAAATACTCTGTTCACATCCAGTTGTTTCTGTCAACACAAGCTGGAGCAGGGATGGTGTCACTGTGAGTCTGATAGGATTTACTGGGTATCAGCACCTGGAGTCTCTGCATTTGCACAAATTCCAATACTAGCACAAGTAGGCAGTTTATTTATTCCTCATCTTGAAAACACCTCCTTCCTACAAAGGCACTTAAGCACCTGTGGGGCTTTGTGCCCTTGAATGGCCTTACTGATATGAAGGTACACTCAAGCATAGTGTCGCCTGGGGTGAAGCAGGCACTTGGTATCCTCTGCAAAGTGGATTATTTTCAATAAATTCTACTTCCTTAGACAGAATTTCTTTCAGACTGTGAAATAATTCCCCATACTTATTTAGGCAATCACATTTTTTTTAAGTTTTTAAAAAGAAATTTATTTTCTCACAGTGAAGACTGAATTTGCAGCATGTAAATATTGTCCTTCCAGAATAAGCTTCTGTGTGATGGGAATAATTCAGAAACATGCTTTTGCTCTTATCTTAGAATGGTAAAACTCTAGGAGTAAGAGGATGATAGGATTGTAATAATCCTACTGCTTTATGTTTTTAACATGCTTTCTTTTTTTATTTTAAAAGACACATCTAAACAGAAGGGGAACCAGCTATGTAGGAAGTCTTTCAAACAAACCTACAGACAACCTGAAAAATAGATTTTCTAGGAAAAACATTACTTTCTAAAGCTGGTCTTTGTATGCTTTCTATTGTAAGTCTACCACTATTGTAATAGAATTGAAAATCTGGAGTAGAATACAATTTTCAGAGTTGATAGTGTCTTTTATAAAGTGCATTGAGGACTTTGCAAGGTAAAAGACCAGTGAGTATACTCTGAAATACCAGAATTGGAGAATAGGCCAAAGAAAATTACCTTTGGCAGTGTCTTGTAGAACTGCTTAACTCTTGCAGTTTGTCTCATCAAGTCACCAGTATTTCCTCTGGGTAGTATTTGATATGGATTTCCCTTTTGCTCTCTTTCAGACCCCACTGATAATCTATCTCTTTCACTTCCTGATTGAATATGCTGAACTGGTGTTCATGGTAAGTGCTTATGGAAAGCTTCTCCTGAAAGGTCCCATTCAGGGAAATGCTGAGTATGACTTTCTTTTCAGTCCTTCAGCCTCCCTGGAGCTCAGATTCCTGCTGAACTCACTTTTAACCAGAAAGGCAGCTTTGCCTATACAAACCCACATTCAGGTTTTTTCCTTCTTGTACATACATATTCCTTCTTTTTTGTGAGTTCTTGCTTATATAAGTATCCCCACACAGGCATAGGAATTCTTATTTCAAATTTCAAACGTTATCTCTTATAGGTAACAAAATACGTTGTCCTTCCAGCCTAGTGCCTACACTGCTGTTTCTCACCATTCCCTACACTGCTGTTTGTCTGCCAAACCCCAGACCTGCAAGGAGCACAGATGGGTTCATCCCCCAGATATCTCTTGTAAATTGTTCTCCAAGTTCTGCACAGTTTAGGACAGAAGTCCTGTTGCTGGCTGCACATAGCACCCAGTGGAGCCTCTGTGCCCAGGTCCCTGCCAGGCAGGGCTTGTGCAGAACCAGCAGCTGTTTACCCTGCACTGCTGCAGGGCAGTCTGGGGCAGCTCAGGGCACTGTCATGCTGCTCTGGTGGCCAGGTGGCTTTAACCAAGATGGGCACTGTCCCAGTGTTGCTGTGCTCTCCCTACATCAGTGATTCTCTTTATTACCCTCATGTGCTGCTCTCCACAAACAATTTCTTTCCTCTTAATTCCCCATTCTCTTGTTTTGTGAATATACATTTTCTGATGATACTGCTCATGCCTTCAAGGTGAAGTGATGGTGTGTGAGAGCACTGTACAAATCAGCCTTTCAGGATTTTTAAAGTTTGTGTTTTGTTCCCTTGAGCTAAGTCACAAATGTTAAATGCTCGGTCAGCATTTAACAGAGCTCCTGTTAAATGCTGATCAATATATTTTTCTCCATTTCTTTATTTTTCTCACAATCAGTCTGTCCTTTGCTTTCTTAGATAACTGATGTGCTAACTGCTGTTGCCCTTTACTTGGCAATCCAAGACTTCAACAAAGTTGTGGTAAGCTGACTTCCCAGTGTTGCTGGTCCTCTTCTCCCAGCAAATATAATTATCTTGGGACAAAGAAAAGATGTGCCAGAGGATGTGGTGTCAAGTCCTTGTTTCAGTAAATCTGGTCATATTATAATGACAAACAGGATTGAATGTAGTAGATAACTGAGGCATTTAAATTTTGTTGTGCACACTGTCTGTAGCTACACACTGAGTGGTGATCACAGCAGTGTAGAGTTTTCTACAGCCTGGGTGTTACACCTTGGAGTGGGTTTCTTTGCACACAGCATGAGGTAATACACAGACTAGAAATGTGAAAGGGAAGGAGTGAAACCTTCCAGCAGTTCTGAGGTGATGTAGATCCTTCTTGTGAGTATGGGGAAAGTCTGACAACAAATACTACTTGTTCCCTTCAAATTACAAGGATGTGTATTTGGAGGTGAGTGATTCCTCCCAGCTCTCAAAGAACATTTTGTTAAGCAGTGCTTTGCAGTTCCAGAGGGGTGGGGATTAGGTATCAACCTCAGCAGGGATACTACATTTTCTGCAGCATCTCTGCGGTCTCCCACTCAGCTATGTGCTTCTTCCTTGTCCTCTGATTTTGAGGTTAAGGAAATAACCCAGGATAGAACTGCAGGCATGTAAGAATTCCACAACTTTGGTTGTTGAGAATTTACTGCTAGCATCTCTGTCCTTTTGTCTCACCATAACATAATTCAGTCAGTTCATATTTCAGATTTCTCTTTTGTCTCTATAGAGAGCCTCTAAAACAAAAGAGATTAAAGAGATACTTGTCTTAGAAGTATCCATCATTAAAACAACAAACACTGCATACATATGGGGTTTGGGGTTTCAGGGCCTTGTGTGTTGAACACAGAATTTATAAAGTTA